TCAGTAATTAATCAGAACGCTTAAATAGGTAATCTTCTAGTTAGGTTGCACGTATGGCGGCTAGTGTAAAACCCAGGCAGACTACTTAAATCAGGTACCAAAAGTACACATGTAGCTAAATTCTAATATAGTAGCTAAGTACTATACTTAAGCAAGTTTTTAAATATAGATAATACTATATATAGAACCTGTTTGCAAATATTAGTGCGATAACCACTACTAGGGTAACCAGGTATTACTCTAATATGTAAATTAGTAATTTATGCAATTAAGTTACAAATTTTTAATAAATTAATACAAAATTATAAAAGAAAAAAAAATAAAAATAAAAATAAAATTGTGAATAACTTTTAATAAACAGATTCATTTTTAACCAAAATGGCTACCTTAAAAGGACAAATCTAACAAACCCAAAATTGCTAAAATCCAATCACAGAATTACAAAATTGTTAAGATTTTTGTATTATTTTTGATAAAAATTAGATTAAACTAATTTATTTTAATTAAAATAATACAAAAATCTTAATGATCTTGTGATTCCGTAATTGGATTTTAACGATTTTGGATTCATTAGAATTGTCTTTTCAAGGCGGTCGTTTTGGTGGTAAAATCGTTTAAAACGGACTCGTCTATCAAAAGTTACTCGCGATTTTTATACTAGTTTTTTAAAATTATATATGTATAGATTATTTTGGTTAAATGCTGCTATCTCATGATCTAACGGTCAGAATCGCATGATTTTGGTACCATTCGATTCATCTCGATGAGACGAATCGAATGGTACCAAAATCATGCGATTGCAATCAACAGTTCGTGAGATATCGTTAGGCATATTTACCTTATTTTTTTTTAAAATGTACTGTAGTAAGAGGTGTACCATATCTAATATAGTCTCATTCAAATTTTTAAAATAAAAAATTTTTATGTATAGAATCTTATTCTAAATTAATTCTCAAATACAGAAATAGAGATTTTTTTAATATATAGTATACGTATAACATCCCTATAAAAACAACCTTATACAAATATTCACGCAAATGCTAACAATCAAATCCGAAAATCGACGCGTGAATCATTCTAGAACAAAAAAAAAAAAACCAATACGTACGTACGTAATACTACCAGCTACATGTAGGTTCTGATCTATATGTTAATATCAGATTATTGCAAAAGTAGGATCGCTTGACACCGAGCGAATTGAGAATGCGCTAATTCATGTGAGCAAATTTATAATTCATATTTTCATATATGGGAATTACAATCAAAATTTACTTCATACCTTTTTGCACCACCGGCATTTTTACTAACAACAACACCATTAGCATATTCAGGAACTGTATCCTGAATCCATTTAGCAATACAAGGTTCAGCATAAAGATTGTCAACTGGTCTGTTAAAGAAACCCTGCATTTGTGACGCGTGAAGATCCATGGTGATGATATGATCCACGCCAGCAACCGAAAGTAAATTTGCCACTACTTTAAAAATATTTAACAATTACATAATCAATTATATAAGCTTCATAAGTAAAAGTATTATAACATCAATATATAGAAAATATAATACCTTTTGCAGTTATGGCACAACGGTACTTCTTTTTTTTGCTTTGTTTTGAATAAGGGAAATATGGCATAACAGCTAGAAGGCAAGTAAATCAGCAAAGGTCATTTTTTGAATTTTAATATTATGAGTTGCTTTACGTTTGTCGCGTCAAAAACCGACATGTTACCGGTGACTCTACTTGCTGAAGCGCCTTTACAAGCGGATATCATGATCAATAATTCCATAAGGTGATCATTGATTTGAGTTGAGCCGGACTGAATAATGAATACATTTTCGTTACGAACTGAACAACCTGTTTG